CTCTTCCAGTCGCTGCCGCACGTCAGCGCTCCTTCTTTTTTGAATGAACTACCTCAGGAGTTTAAAATCCTTGATCCCTTTTACATATTTTTACATATAAACACAAAAGAACAAAATACAACATTCGAGAACAGATTTTATCTATCACTTTTCGTGTTTTGTACGACAAACATTGCTACAAATGTGCTGCAATGCAAATCGGAACTCAATTTAGGTATACGATTGCCCATATGGGCAGTAAACATGCTGACAAAATTTCAGCCACTGTTTTCCGGCTTGTTTTCGAGTTGGGACAGTGTCAAGTGCAAATTTTGGCTGCATTGCACAAGCGCGCACGACAGCTGAATTTGAAATCTTTAGCTCACACATGCGTAGAGAATACCCCCGCAGAGTTTCAACTTTGCACCCTGCCTGGTTCGCGAAATCGCTTCCAGCCAAAGAAATGTGCTTATTTTTTTGGAGGGGTCCGCACCCGAGGTCTAGGGGTGTATATGCGAAAATTTTAAAACGGGACACACGTGATAGAAACATATACCGCAAATTTCAACCTCCCAGCTTTCCTGGTTGATGGGATGAAAGTGGGTGACAAAGTTCATTTGCCTCCGAACACACACACAGACAAACTCTCGACGATATGCGTTTTTGCTCGCTGTGACAGCACTTTAACACAGCATTGCAAAAACGCGTAGAAACGCATAAAAAATTCAGCTACACTGAAATATTTCCAGGTGTTTGTAACGTGGTACAACCTGGTTACTTCTAAGAGCTTCTACCTGTCACTGAAAGCGAATAGTGTAAACTTTTATTATTTTTTTAAAGCTTTTTGCATCAAAAGGCAGTAACTGAACATCGTTCGAACATCATTACTCAGCAGACCGAAAACCATCGTATCCCTGATGCTCTTCCACTAATGCATAGTCAATGATGCAGACTTTCTCTACCCATACTATCCATTTGGCCAGTTGTGTACAGTTTTAAATCTAATCGAGTCCTATTTAATCACATTTACAGCAATCCTTCAAATGCAGTTTTGCCTATCACTTTAATTCTGCCATGCTGCTGTACAGTTCGATCAAGATTTTTTTTCTAAAACAGTAGCAGTCTCGCTCCCAGGAAATTCTGGCAGAGTTTTTCGCTTGTTTTTCTTCTCTTTTTGTCCAAACTTGACATGTTGATTTGCACAATTAAGCCTAACAGTGGCTTTTAGGCATAATTCAATGCAATAACAGTTATGATCCGGGCATTTCTTCTCTTCGCATTCATTTACGTATCCGATGGGAACAATTTGGTAAGCGCTTGTTGTGGAATCTCCTAGTTGCTAATTTACTTCACAGTGATCTAAAAGTGGCAGCATCTGGAACTGTTTGGTGATGCTGCAAAACACACGACTGACGTCTGGAACGGTTAAAACCCTGCGAGAATGCTTCTGTTGGGGGCTGCTGAGCTACTGATTCCTCCCGGAACGAAATGGATGTCCAGCATCGTCAACACTGCTGACCATCACGCGATGTAGGATAGACTGGCTGCACAGCTAACCGCTCATTAATGTAAACTTCTGTATCCCACCAGCAATGCAAAAATGTATTAAAAGTGTGACTGATAGAAAATGTAGCACATTGCGATTCCAAACTCTTTTAAAATACTAACAGATTTTTAAGTTGCAAAAGAAATTTTGGTTTCAGAGTGCCACAAGCAACGCACTCAGCAACCCGAAACCACCATATGCATCGCACAGTCAGTGGAGTGTGTCGGATAGCCACCATGTTCAATCGGAAAATCCTATCGGCTATGCGCATCCCGACAATCCATCACAAGCAAGCTTTTCGAGACAAATTGATTCTGTTCTTCAGAATCTTGAAAAATATCAAACTCAGTTACAGGTACTGCTTTGAGCTAAGCAACCAATTTACAATCCTGAACCATATCTGTTTTCACTGCAGGAATACGCGGCCAAACGTCTCCCAGGATCCAGTGATTTGCGCGCAACTCAGGGTTATTTGGAAAGTGAAAAGAGAGAAGACGATGGTTATCCAGACAATCCTACTGCACAGCAGCTTCCCGAACAATCCCTGCGAATTCATAACTCGGATCCTGAGCATCCTGCTCCATTGGAAAGTTTAATCAGGGGAATGCTGCAATGGCCACTTATAGCTCAGGCGGTGTTATCACAGATGCCGAGACGACTGGCTGATTCAGGACCCGTGCTTGTTGATTTAACAAACGAAGAAACTTCTGATAGTGATGATAATCAACAAGACAACTTGGAACATCGGCCGGGGAACTTCAATGTTGTACAGGTGCAACGTTATGCAGGTCACAGCCTTACAGAGGTTTCTTTCCCTGATTTCATGCTGGTTATGGTGTTTGCGGTGATAGCAGAAAATCTGGTGATACCAGGGAAATAACAATAGTGTTAACAGTTATGTGGGTTTTAATATTGGCTGCTGGCACTTATGCGAATTTTAATAATGGTTACTAACATTTATGCAAAGCTTCATCAATTTTCGCCTAAAATTGCCATTCATATTTACTTCTTGTCTAGGACGGGGCTATCCTTCTAAGTCACCACTGTCTATTTGTCATGCTTGCACTTTATATCCCCTTCGTATCCAATGCGCTGTTTTTCAGAAACACTTCTTTGCACCCTGTGCTGAGCTCGTGCATCATCTTATTCATTTTATGAGGGTTGGTCGCAGTAAAAATGTTGCATAATGTTAATTTGTAAAAAGGAATATGTTGGGGAAATAAGTTTTAGGAAAGTTTAATATGCTAATAAATATAAATGCAGCAAATTAATATGCTTTTATTTTGTTTTTGCTGCTCATCATTTTTCCAGAACATTGCTTTATCGAGATCGCAGCCGCGGTTCAGTGATCAGTGGGCTCAACGTCAAGCTGCAGCTCTGTGCAGAGCGTTGGTAGTACAGTTTAAGGAAGTCAGTGAAGTTGCTAATTTATTTTTTACTAAAAAAGCGCCACTTTTCAGCTGCATTCAACCCCAGACAAAAAGTGAGGTGAAGAAAGAAAGGGAGTGGATTGAGCGAGAGGAAAGGAGTTAAAACGGGCAAATAATTTATGTTTTGGCAAGTTGAATATTACATGTCTGTGTTGTTTGAAATGCTGTAGTGGCAAGTTGTTCAGCTCCCACGCCAATCTTTGAACGTTCGATACTGCAAGCGAAAGAACAATCTGTGAGAATTCATCCCTCGCTTGAATGGTGTAAGTAAATGTTGATGGAAAGTGCCATCGATAACTTATTAGTTGTGGACGCGTTCTACAGCTCGAGCTACTGTCGAATATCTTCGCCTTTCACATCGTGTGGTATGATATACCAAATTGGCGAAAATGAATGACGAACACTGGCTGCGACGGAGGGAGCAATGAAGTAAGGGATGCATGGCGTGTATCTTAGTGACTACATAGATGTACGAAGTTTGTGTCAGATAAGTGAAGTCAAATATCACTACGATCATGTAAGAAGGTAAATGATCACTCTGGTAACTCTCCAAGAGGTGGCGCAAATATATTGAGTAGGCGGTGAGTGCTAGCTGGAGGTATGCAGTTTAAAATCGAAAGGCCTGGCATGCCTGTCTCCGATTTGTGAATGCATCGTGGTAAAATCCCCAACAAGACCGGACGGTCTTTAGTTTCTTGGACGTTAAATGTAATAACCATAGATATTACAGGGCTTTTTTTCTTTTCCAGACAATAAAAATTTTCGACTTTATAAAACTCCTCTCGCTGCCTTTATATTATGCAGCTTAGCTTATTGGGCTCCTGATGCTGCTGGTAGTAGCAAAAGCGCTTTTCGCAAAAGCACTTTTTAAACAACTTACGGAACAATTATTAAGAAACTTAATGGTATGAAAACTGACACACTGTAATTTGCAGAGAACAGTTCCAAAACCAAAGACACCACAGTCTAGCAGGGATATGCAAGAAATACAGCCGAGTCTCAGAAATCCTTTTCATCGAGTAGAGGATCCATTTACTTTAACAACGCAACTATCACGGGTATGATTTAAACTGGACTTTCGAATGCCATCAGTTCTAGATGTGAAGTGATGACTTCGTTACTTGTAAATGATTCCGGCCTCTAATAGTTAGCTGGCAGTGTATGGAAAATGACACCAATCTTACAAGGATTTCTGCATAAATTACAAGAATGCGTTTCGGCAAGGTTGCACGTTTGTGTGTGCGTGTGTGTGTGTGTGTGTGTGTGTGTGTGTGTGTACGTGTGCGTATGCCGTGTATGTGTGTATGTCAGTTTTGTCTACCCAAGCGATTTAATTCCTGAACTGTGAAAACCAGAAAGATCAAACCTGAGAACGACATCTCGGCAAATCCACAAACAAACTCAATTTTCTCATTTCCAATTTTTTGTGAAAGTATACAGCACCGAAGTCGCAACTTCGGTCGGGGTATCACAAATGCGATATGCAGTGCAACATATCAAATATTTACTGCAGTTAGATTCCGTTTTGTCATTTAACAAACGTATTAGAAAACCATTGTAATGAAATGAAAAATGATTTTAGTATGTTTGGATGCATCTTACCCACAGCGGGTAAACAGCTGTTTACCGCAAAAATGCACAAACCGCAGCAGTCCCCCGATGAATTTTGCTGCTCATTTACTGGTTGCTTCAATAATGTTTTTTGATCATCAGCTAATGCAAATTTAAAAACAGTTGCTGACACCACAGTTTCGATGTGATAGCTGTAGTTTGCCTACTTTGCAGCCAGAAATGAGGGTGGATCAAAGAGCAATGCAAGCCATGGACTGGAGACCTGTGGACCCCGTTGCACGAATTTACAACCCAGGGTATTTTCTGGGGCATCCCTCAGCTTCACAAGTATTATTTATTCTCAGACACTTCTTATTTAGAATAATAAGTCATTTCCTCTCTCTGTGCTCCTGTTGGAAAAACCGTTCAGCCCACTATCCCCCTCCTC